CCCACCCCGTCCTCTTACGTAGCACTGAGCCGGCTTAACCTGAAGAACTGGAAACTAATTTTTTTTTCGCAGAGAAGGAAACAAACATGGCGAACGGCTGTGTTTTGTTGCGGTCAGCGTTGGAGGTTGACGGAAAGTCCTTCGACGTTGTTTTATCGGGCACATCTATCTCTTGGGGACATGTGGGTATAGAAGAATCTGGACTTGGTAAGAAAATCTTGAAATGTTTTCAACGCGTGTGTCTGTTCTAATCTGAAGATCGATTTTTTTTAAGCTTCATCGCGCGATTCAGCTGTGCTAATTGATTGCAAAATCGATCGGTTTAAATCTGTAAATTCTTTATTCAGCGATAAAGCGATGACGATTTCGCAAGATGAAATTTTGTGTACAGAGGATATTTCCTGTTAAATGTGGATACAATTTCAAGTTTTATGTGATCGATGGACTCAGTTCATAGAAATTAACAAGCCTGATTGTTGTTTACTTTTGTGCCGACTTTGATTATACGGTTTTCAAGTGAGTTTCGCTGTAATGTCTGTTTTTCACTTTAGAGAATTACAATTAATCTTATTTTAATTTTACGCAATGTGAAATAATGTTGCGATTTACATGTAAAAAACACGCTTTCCATGATGATAGCTGACTCGCAATCGAAAATTAGATCCACGCCATTATCAGTAAGATTATATGTTTGACTACAGCATTACGACTGGATTATTTAGAAACGACTGCTCCGTTTCAAGATTTAAATCTTTGAAAAATAGTTCTTAGTGATGTTTCGTGTGACTCACTTGTTTCCAGAATTAGAAAAAGTCTGTCTTAAGTCTGAATGACTAATGTCAGCCCGTCAGATTCCAAAACTTCCTTACAAGACATAGGTTTTTATACTTCAAGGCATCTGCTGCTACTTAATTTAAAAATCACTCAAACAAATTTAAAACCGATTAAGGCAATTGGTTTAGGTAATAACATGATTTTGAGGGCAAGCTAGTGTTAATAAGCACAAGTAAATTTCTCAAAGACTTCAAATGGGCAAGTGCAATTTGTAGTCTTTGAAAAATGTACAAGTGCTTATTGACACCAAAACTGTTCATTTGTTCCTTGTTAATAATCTACATGAAAAAAGCATTACCAAAAGTCAAGACAGCCAAATTTCGACAGCATATGCGCACTCTTTGTAATCTACAGTTGACTGTTACATGAAAAACACACCTCTTTTCAGCCAACCAGATGCGTGTAATTTTTTCACCCATATTATTACAAGGAATACAATTTTAATTTTATCTAACTTCTCTGACATCTTTGCTTGTTTTGGTTAAAATTCCTCTTGTTTAACCAAGTTCAAGATTGGCATTGTAATAAGTCACAGCAAGTTTTTTCTGCTTGGATTTATAGCCCAAGTACAGTGTGCAAGCCATAAATCTAAGCAGAAAACACAAGGTTCATTAACTTACAGTAGAGACCAAGAAATTGAAGTCAGTTAGATACTTATTATGTCCTTAGGTTGAAAGAGAGGGGGAAGATTTGGATTCAAACAAACTTTTGAGTAATACTACAGAATACAAGGCCACTTGCTTGCATCTCATTGAAACACAATACCTCCTTCTGTGTTATGCCTCATTCTTCAAAGAATGCTGGCAAGGTGGACCTGTATTCTGTAGTTGCTCCCAGTGTTGAATATAGCAGGCGGTGTATTGAAATATAGTCTACTAAATTAGCCAATCATAATGCAGGCTCTAACTGCAAGAATTATGACAAGATCAATTACCCATACAAATGAAGTGAGCAGAAGTCTTTGGTAGTTTCCTATTATGTGCTTGGTTGAATTTGTATTTATAACTAACCTTGCCAATAGTACATGCATTTTGATATGACTGGTAATAATGATTATCAATAATTTAGTACTTTTTAATTAGAGTCATGGGATATTTGTTTTTCAGGTAGTGCCTTTTTCAAGAAGACCTTGCCTTTGTCCGAAGTCTTTGCAGTTGTGCCTCACAAGTTGAGGACTGTGCCATCTACTGAAGGAGAAATTGAGTTAACGTCACTTAGAAGTTCCTCATTCTATGTTTATGCTGTCAAGAGAACACGGAAACATAAGTGGCGTGAGAAACTGTTTGTGTTTGACTGCCATGATGAATGTTTGTGTGAAGAATGGATTGATAGTATAAAAAGCATTCTTTCAGGTATACGTTAGCTGTATTAATATTAAGCAAGTGTTAAAAAGTTATACTAACTGTTGATCACGAAAATGGTACTATAAAGTACCACGTTTTTCTACTGCAAGCATGATTTTTAGAGCTTGTTTTTCTGCCATCGAAATGGTTCAAATGGTGTTTTTGTTAAAACTACATGAAAAATTTCCATAATGTATAGAATTTCTGAGGTGTCTTACAGATTTTCTCATCATCCTTCAAATATTTTTGGTTTGCAATGGCTCCATGTGTTTTCCCAAAAGAAATTAAGAACAAGGTTTATTACCTTTTAATTATTAAAATAAGTAAATCAAGATTGATTTTATTTTATAAATCTCTATATGCAGGTTTTAACAGACCCAAAAGATTACTTGTGTTTATCAATCCAATCGGGGGAAGAAGACTAGGTTGTAAAATATATACAGAACAGGTCCAACCATTATTTGAACTAGCCAACATCAAAGTTGATTTGATAGGTGAGTAGAAAGTAAAGTGTAGATTATGCAATTCCTTTGCACTTGAATGGTACATATAGTTAAATTTAAATACTTTAAGATCACAATTTTCTTGAATATTGTCAAGTTCAAACCAGGAGTAATTTCCCAGCCTTTTTTTACCACAATTGGCAGTAATGTCACAATCTGATTGGCCAATTTGTTGTTATTGATAAGAGTGCAGACAGCACTGCTTGCGTCACTGTGTCAGGCAACAAGTCATGCACTATATAATAATGAGATTGAGAGCAATGTAACAATGAATGAAGTGATACTGATCCTAGAATATTTAACTTGTTATTTTATTCAGTTACTGAAAGAGCAAATCATGCAAAAGATTATCTTCTGAAGGAGGCATTGGAAAAAATTGATGGGTAAGTATAATAATTATAGTAACAGTGCACACTTTGTCTACTAATGTATTTGTGAGTGCAGTTAAAAAAGTGAAATTAAAATAGGCCATTTTACAGTTGTGTACTTAGTTGCCAAGCCTTTGATTCAGAGTGAGGCTATAGATGACCTTGTTGTGATAGAGACCTCTATCTAGTTAGCATGATAACAAAGTGATTTACATTTGAAAGGCAGCAAGGTTTGTATCATAACAATCCCTAGTCTCACTCCCGTTCAAAGGCTTGGCAACCAAGCACACAACTGTAAAATGGACTATTGAATTAGATAAAATTGCCATGGCCATGTCACAAGTTTCCAGTTTAGTTGTCTGCTCTAAGCTTCACCAGGTTACAGTGTACAGAGTTGTGTTTGGTGCCCTTTACATTAGTCAGAGTTTTTAAAACAAAGGTAAATTCAGTATACCGGTATTTTCTTTTTATTACAGAATTCATAAAATCTTCTCTGAATGGGCCATTTTACAGTTGTGTACTTAGTTGCCAAGCTTCTGATTTGGAGTGAGGCTGAAGGTGAGCTTGTTGGAATGGAGACCAGTATTTGCTTAGCATGATAACAAAGAAATCTACATTTGAAAAGCAGCAACCTCTGTATCATAACAAGGTCACCCCTTAGCCTCACTTCTCTTCAAGAGTGGGACAGCCAAGCACCCAGCTGTAAAATGGACTGTTTCAACTGAAGGACATATCCAGTAGAAAATAACACTTCTCTGAAGTTCATTTTTGCCTTTTTTAGAGAAAACCTGAGTGATGGTTAACTTGCTCAAATGTTTTTTTTTTTTATTTTTTTTTATTTTTTTTTTTTAGTGTCATCTCTGTTGGTGGAGATGGTATGTTTCATGAAGTTTTAAACGGTCTTGTTATACGAGCTCAGCAAGATGCCATGTTGGATTCAACATCCTATAACTTTCAACCGATACCTCTTAACCTTCCTATAGGCATCATACCGGCAGGTGAGTCAAGTATTTTCCAGTTATTGTATTTGATCATGACAGATAGGGTAACTTAGTGGTCAGTGCGTCAAACACAAGACCTCAATAAGTTGGGTTGAGAATTTATCCCTAACATCATCCACACCATGGGATAAACTAACCTGCATGTTGGCCTTCATCATTAACACTACAGCACAAGTGTTTCTTTGCTAGCAAGTAAGATTTAGGCTTTGAACAAAGTGAGCCAGCAAGATGTTTGCATTAGTGACACTATTAGTTGTTTAAGTGTATAATTTTTCTCTGTTTTTATCAAAACAATCTCGTGTATTTTCATATTTCATCTCAGGTTCAACGGATGCTATTGCTTTCTGCACAACAGGAAATAACGATCCTGTCACTTCAGCCTTGCACATAATTTTAGGTCAGTGGAACAGGTATTCTTTTGTAGAAACCAAGATTTCTTAAAGTTGGAAATTATGAAAATTGAAGGCTATTAAAATGGATGTGTACCAACAGCTAGACTG